TAAGTCTAATACGAAGATCGATGATTGATATTAAAATCGCCTGAATAAGAATCGAGATTTTGTCAGAATCTGGCGCAGTTCCCAATATTTAAAATTCCTAAAATCAGTCAAACATACATAAAATCCTAAAATCAAACAGTACGTGTCATCATCTGAAAGACGGGGAAGTCATTCTCTCACACTTACGCACGTCAAAAAGTTAAACATAGAAATACTGGAAATAGGGCTGTTTTCCTGAGTTTTCGATACTTTTCAAGGTCATTTCGAAATTTTCAAGGATTTAATATCATTTTCAAGTACTTCTAGGGGCCCTTGAAAATCAAAATGAAATTCAAGTACTTTTCAAGGCTTTTTCAAGGCCGCGGGAACCCTGTATACTGAATCACTGAATTTAACTCACTTCATATACACCATTAATAGTAATAATGAAGCCACTTGTAAATATTATTATTTTTTACTTAGTTTAAAAATCAAACTTAGAAAATTAAATTAAAAATTAAACATAGTTTAAAAATCAGTGTTTTGTAAGTAAAAAACTGTTGCATTGCTTTGAAAAGCATATTCTCCATTGCTAACACACTAAGCGTCACATATATTTTTAGGAAATCCCAGCCAAGTCACGTGCTCTGTAGAAGCACTTGTATTGTGGTACAGCAACACAAAGTGAACTAACAGATTCTAAATAAGTAAACATTAAATAATTTTCAAACTAAGTCCAGAAATTACTTAAAACTATGAAAATTTCTTATTTTTATATTTTACACTGTCAGTTACAGGTGACAGACACAGCTTAAATGGAAAGTGGTATTCAACATGTTAAAATGTATTTTGTACCTTTGATAGTTAGCTGATCTTTTACAGTCCCACATTTATTTAACAATGCAAATAAATTGCATTACAAGATTAAAGTAATGCACAGATATGCAATTTTTTAAAATTTTAAACAGGGAATCCAAATCTCATTAAAACTCTACCTGAAGAATGGTTGAACCCATTTGTGCAGGAGATCTTGTAACTATAACTCCAGCAGCTTGTAAAGCTTCTATCTTCTGCATTGCACCACCTTTTCCACCAGAAATAATTGCACCAGCGTGGCCCATTCTTCTACCAGGAGGGGCAGTGAGACCAGCAATAAATGAAACCACAGGTTTAGCATTGCTCCCCTGAAAAAATATATATTTTTTTCTTCAAGCTATCAACTTTCATTCCAAGAGACACTTTTTATAAAAATATGAAGTGGGTTGAATTATTTTTAAATATTTTTTGAAATAATAAAAAGATTCCCAAAATTTAGTGTATTTCCAATATTAAAAGAAAAGGTTAAATAACGAATAATATCTTGTTTTACAGTGTTTGGAAGAAATTTTAAAATCCACTAATATTACTTAAAAGATTAAGATTCTAACAATGTCTAAGTAACTAAAAACATTAAATAGAAATATAAAATTTGATAATTACACAAAAATAGCAAGGCGATTTTACAAATGATAATTTGTATTTATTGATGCAATTAGATTTGTAAAAGTAATAATATAAAATATTAATTTTATAAAAGTTTAAAAATTAACATTTAATAACTAAAATACTTTTTTAAAACATGAGTAATTTTGCTTAACTAATTTAGTTTAACTTTCTCATGTACATTATAAATATTTTTTGAACATAGTTTTAATAAATAATTACAAGTCAAACCCACATTAATTATTTAAATATTATAAAATGAAGAATTTTTGAGTTCACACAAGACATAAAAAAATATTTATGAGTAAAATTATTTATAATATATAAAATAAAATTATACTTATATTATTAATCTGTAATATATAAATTTCCACAGTTATGTAATAAACTTATAATTTTATTCTTACCGTTTTGTTTATAGGATGAAAGATGAATAAAAGTTAAAAAAACAGTACAGTGAATATTTAACCTAGTATATCATTATTATAAATCACTAACAATATTTTGTGACTATATACTTACAGTAAAAATATCTGAAAGTAAGGATCTAAATGAGGAAAAACTTGAAGCTTTTATAAATTTGAATATTCTGCCATACAGTAAAATAATTTATACTTACAGTATTGTGCTTTGTCAAATATTCAGCTGCTTTTTCTTCTTCACCTCCACCGATTTCTCCTATTAATATAATACCTACAAATGGAAATATGGAAGGACAGTTATAAACTCTTCAAATACAGTTTTAGTGAAAATAATTAGGGCAAAGTTGGACAAAATTGTGTTTTTAAGTTTTCTCTTTCTAACCATTTTGTACCAAAATTAAGTATCTAATGAGGAAAAAACTATATTTTAGATGTAAATTAATAAATTAGAAAGCAAGCACCAAAATAACCAATTCTATACTCAGAAAAAAAAACTGCTTACAAAATATTTGTTTACAGTATTAAACTTTTATAAGCCGACAAGACTTTTAAGTTCTCAGCTTTTTATCTCAATCAATTTTGCAAGTAATTTTTCATATTCTTTTTATTGATTTCTTAACATTTTCAACTTGTTATAAAACAAAGTAGTAATGTTTAACTAAATTTTAAAATGAAACTTTTTGCAAAATTTAAGTTTTTGAAAGACAATTTTCAATTCAAACATTTTCAACAATCACAGTAAATGCAAATGATGAGTAAAATAAAATTTCGATCACCTTTAGTTTCAGGATCATTTAAAAATATACTAAGGCAATCAATGAAGTTTGTTCCATTAAAAGGGTCCCCTCCAATTCCTACACATAGAGACTGTCCTAATCCAGCAACAGTAGTTTGGTGAACAGCTTCATAAGTTAAAGTACCAGATCTGGAAACAATACCAATCTTTCCACTCTGATGAATATGGCCTGGCATAATTCCTATTTTGCATCCCCCAGGCTAAAAATAAAAAAAAGAAATATACACAGTGCACAAAAAAAAGAACACTCTGAATAGCTTTTTATCTAATGATCAGATTTTCATTTACTAGGACTTAATTTTAATGGCTTGAGGGTCTAATCTTAAATATGCTAATTAATCAGTTCAAATAACTGACTAATTAGCATGTTATATAGAACTTAATTATAAGATTGCTAACTATTCTTTGTTAATTGGATATTTTAAGTTATGAAGTAACTTAAAATATCCAACATTCAAAAATAATTTTGCATTGAAAAAACATTTAATAATTTTTTGATGGATTTGTATCCTTAAAATTTGCAATCTGGAAAAAATGGTCCCAATAATTCAGACAGGAGAGTGATTGAAAGTTACAGACCTTTAACGGTTATTTTATTTTTTGAGCATTTCCCCATTTCTTCGGAATTATTGAAACGAACCAAAAAATTATTACACACAATTACAAAACTTGTTCATCTAAAGATTCATGCAAAAAAAAAGAAAATAGTTTTTTTACTACTTGGTGTAATAATAAGCTAACAAATTTGAATTGTAAGGCACAAAAATTTCCACACAATTTTCACTTATGTACTTTTAAATCACAAAAAACAAAATTTGAAGAATAAAAAAAAAATTTAAAAATAAAAATAAAGAAAGAAAAAATAAAAACAGAATGAGTTTGCAAAATAAACAAATAGTGAAATCAACCTTAATGGGTCTGAACTTTAAACCACTCTAGGCTATACTTTACTTAAAATTCAATAAAATTATTAAAAAAAAATATTTATTATAAATAAAACATTTAAAAAAACATACAATTTATTTAAAAAAAGCTTCAATCATTAAAAAAATATTTTTAAAAATTATTTGAAAAATGATGTGCTTAAGCAGAAATTTAGTAAATTGAGTCATTGGTTCCAAGGACAAAATAAAAAATGTTACTAGTAAGAGCACATATTTACTAGTACGGTTAAATCTCTTAATTAAATATAAAATTTTACAAATACAATAATTAAACTAATTAAAACATGCAATAGAAATTTCATATAAATCAAAATTGTATCATTCAATACTATTTAATAAGCAGATTAAATACTACCACCTACTCGAACCATCAATCATTAAAGATAAAAAAAAAGTTATTAAATGAAATTAGTTGGAAAACATTGAATGCATTACATCTAGAATTTTGATAGAGTAGTATGCAATTTTGTGAAACACAAAAACCCAAATTACAAAAACCTAAATCACCATTTCTTTGCATTAAATTTTCATTGCTCGCCTTCAGAACACTGATAATTATTTCATGATATATGGTTTTCAAGCTCAACAGACTACCTTAATTTTGGGCCCAGTCTGATATATGATAATAAGTTATGAATTAAGTACTTAGTCAAAATATTTAAATAAAAATCAGTAGTTTAAAATTAAGAAATACTGTATCTTAACAGTTAAAAATGAATTCAACTATAGTTTTGTAAATTCTTGTTTTATTAAAATAAAGCTATAAAATATATAAAATTATTCAATACATATGTTGCAGGACAAATGCAATTAAATATTTCCGTACTTTATTTCTACTGATCACTTACAAAATATTAATTTAAAGCTTTATATTTACCTTTATTATTCCTGGACAGTTAGGGCCCACAAGACGAGTTTTGCTTTGGTTGACTAGTCTGTGCTTAACTCGCACCATATCTTGTTGTGGTATGCCTTCAGTAATACAAACAACAAGAGGGATTTCTGCATCAATAGCTTCTAAAATGGCAGCAGCCGCAGCTGAAGCAGGAACATAAATTACTGTTGCTGTAGCACCAGTTTTTTCAGAAGCCTAAAAAGAATGAAAACTATATAAGCAACAACTGTTATTAACATAGCTAACAACTTGTTAAAAACAAAAATAAGAACACAAAGAATGATAAACCGATCAGGGGTAATTATGACACAAAATGGAAAACAAAGTTTCAAAAATAAAAATGGTGATATCGAAATATCAATTTATAAACCAAACACGTTTCATATTTAACATAATTTCTTGAGCTAACAATTTTAATTAAATCACTTACTAATGCAGAATATCACACCTTAAAGTAATTAATGCAAGAAAAATTGCGTGATATTGGATTTGAAAATCACGTGAATATAAATTGCGACATTAAATTTTAAAATTGCATGAATATGAATTGCAATGTTGGATTTTTAAAATTGCGTGAATATGAATCACGATGCATAATTTTTAGGTCACAATAATACGAAAATAGATGTTTGATATTACAACTGTGTGAATATGAATGGTAATATTAGATTTAAAAAAATGTGTGAATACAAACCGAGACATTGGATTTTTTTTACCCGATGCTTTTTTGATTTTTTTTAAAAAATCCTAAATACAAATCGCTAGATTGGATTTTTAAATTGCGTGAATAGGAACCACAATATATTGAGTGAAAAATTGCAATTTTAGAAGGGGCTGTGTTACCTTTTTTTAATAAAAGGGGACTAAAGCCCAATCTGACCCATGCTTCCGTGGTCCCTAGAGGCTTACAGCATCCTTTATTTCTCAAAATTCTTTTTTGAATTTAATTAATTTTCTTGAAAAATAAGTAAGTTTAGAAAAATAAAAGATTTTTTTTACCTCTTTAACAGACTTAAAAACTGGAAGACCTAGATGAGTAGTGCCAGCTTTGTTCGGAGATACACCACCAACCAGGTTAGTTCCATACTCCAATGCTTGTTGACTGTGGAATGTACCCTAAGAAAATGAAGAGAAACTTTTTAAAATGCTTACATATCTAGTAATAATAAATTATTAAAGTTTTCAATATAAGGATTATACCTACAATTGCCCTTAATCAATTAAGATAATTTTATAATTTGCATGATGGTAATTCATCAAAATTATTGTACTTTTTTTGAGTTGTGTACCAGTAATGTCTTGCCAAGTTTTGGTGACAACTGAGGAGTGATACGCAAGAAAATAAAGAAAAACTCCACAATATGAAACAAATGTGAAAAGTAATGGTAACATCCAGGCAAGTGTTTAACGGTTATAGTAATCATAATAAAAAAATATAGGAATAAGAACAGAAAATAAAATAAAAGTGCACCAGGGTCAAATAAATTGCTACCATGATACAGAAAAAAAATCATATTGAGCAAAAGGAAATGAACCAAAATTATCATCAAAGTAAACATCAACCTAAAAAAAATTTATAAATGTTAAAAGTATTAAATTCGAACTAATTGAAAAAGATGGAGTAAACTTTTTTTAAACATTCAGTGAAGAAAAAAGATTTAAGCTGATATAAAGTAAATATTAGTAATCTTTATGTATAATGAATGCAATAAACTTTTTTCCTTTTTCAGTTAATAAATATCTTTGAATTTAAATTTCAATAGAAAATAAATAAAAACGATAATGGGACATACATATAACTGCATGGATCATTTTCGCTAACATTGAGCCAAATTTAAAGTGCAATAATAAATTAAAGTTTAGATCGCTAGTAATAGCGTCATTCTGATAAGCAACACATTTTCCACAAACTTTGTGGATGCAGCGCCATTGCTTATCTGTTTTCAAATACAGAGACATACCTCGTTTATCAACGTAAATCTTTTTTAAACCAACAATTTCTTGATTTTATCTGCATTATCTGCTGAGGAAGATAAACCTCAAGTGTTAATAATTTTTTTCTTTTTTTAAATTTAATACTTCTCTTCATTAAAACAAAAATGAAAGAACTAAGAGAGAGCTATAGTTTGTCTACGGTAAGAACTCTTTCCGCACGATGTCTGAGGCAGTCTGCTGCTATGGAAACAAGAATAATGCATTTCAAGGAGAGTTGCTTCTTTTTATTCTAGGGGCTCACACAATAGACATGAGAAAAAGAGCCCTTTCTCTCATCGACCCGAGTCAAAACACCCCTACTTGAAATACTTATACCCTGTTACCATAGTCACCGCCACAGGTCCAGACGAATGGCTAGGGGAGTTCTTACTTTAGACAAACTATAGGTTTGCACAGTTTTGACATTAATCTATGTGATAATTCAAAATGGCACAAAAGCAATGCTTGGCGACCATTTTCAGATTTGTTGAAATGAAATAATATCTAAGTACTGCGGTTATTAATAAACTAATTAAAACTCTCTAAAAAATGGCTTGTACAAAAAACAATGCATAAAAAAAAGAAGATATACACACCTGTTTTCCTGTAAATCCTTGGCAAATGACTTTGGTATTTTTGTCAATTCTTAAATTTTCATATGTTTTAGCATAACAGTTTCTAACACTTAAATGCCTTAGTGCTGTAAAATAAATTAAAATATTTGACTGAGTAAACTATAAATAGAATCTTAATAAATATTAACAGGACTTCCTTTAAATTCAGATTGTAATAATTAAAAACAGTTATTTAATATTACTAAATACAGTAAAACTCCAATTATTGGATGCTCAATAATACAACACTTCACTTATAAGAGTACTACCTATTAAAATCATTCCTATAAATGTTTCACTAATCTTACAGCTAATGTTGTGTAATTACTATTACAATGTTTAATTTAAAACTTGGCCATTAGAAAACCACAATCACATGGATATCAAACATGTGCCATTCTTTTTATTTTAATATTATTTATGATAAAAGAATAAAACATCCTTTTTATAACTTCATTATAGCCATTATTTATTAAATTGTTTAATTTTTGAATACTTAAAAAAAAACATGGTTTAATTTTATGTACAGTATTATGTAAAAGTGTGCTTTATTTTAAGTAATTAAAAATTAAATTATATATGAAAAGATCTCCCAGTTACATAACATTTTTGATTTTCCAAGATACCTCTTTTCCCAAGGGTGTAGGATAGGGTATTAGGGTTCTACTGTAATCTTTAAAATAAAGTTTTTCTTCTTTTTATTTGTTAAATTAAATTATAACAAGAATGAGGAGAACAAGACAATATGCTTCCTAAATCAATATCTATTAAAATCATGGGCGTCGTTGACAGGGAGGATGGAGAGTATATGTCTCCTTCAACAATTAGAAAACTCTTAAAGTTCTCAATATTTCAGACAAATAAAGAAAATATTCATATGCAGTAAAACCTCGCTACAACAATATTTTGGGGATCAAATAAATATATTGTTGTAGAGGGATATATTGTTATATCCTTGGGGCCTGCATGCTTTGGGAACACAATAAGATTTTTTTAAAAAATTTTAATGTTATATATTAACTATAAATCTATTTATATATTAGATAAAAATTTAATTTGCTGAGTGATAATTATGGTTAAATATGAAATCAGATAGGAATGTTACATCTGTGACTTCTTAAGAGATAAGGGAGGCAATTCTAAGAATGGAAGCTCTTGGGGTGGCCTATGTACATCAATTATGGGGTACTGAAATCTAAATACAAAAGCCATTCACTGTGGTGAAACGAAATTAGATAAGTACATAACCAGCAGTGAGTCTTCTCTTATCAGAAAAAAAAATTCCAAAAGATGATAAAATAAGATTTTTTGCATTATTTGAAAACCAATAATAAATGGAGAAAATAAAAGTGAAATTGGAAATAAAAAGTTTTATAGGGGTTTATTGCTTCAGAGAATATTGCAATATTGAGAGGAGGTTAACATTAATTCATATGCAAGTTCATCGGGACCACGAAGCATTATTGTAATAGAGGGAGTTATTGTTGTATCGGATATCGTAGTAGTGAGAGTTAACTGTTTTACCATTAATTTATACTCACTAAAGATAGGTAAAATTAAGAAAGATTTTTCTTGCAAATAATTAGCAAGCTTAAAGGTCTGGTTTCTTAGAACAAGCGCCTTATCTGGGCGTCAGCGGGACGTCAACGTCACGCTGACGCCAACAAAGTACTGGTTTGTTAGCACAAGGCCTGGTTTCTTAGAACTAGCGCCTTATCTGGGCGTCAGCGGAAAGTTGACGTAGAACTGACGCCAAAAAAAATACTTTTTTGTTAGCTCAGCGTGAGCAGTCGGTCCAACGCAGACATTATCTCTCATTGCGCATGCGTAAATAACGTAAACAAATATTTATTTTGAATTTGTATTGATTTTGTTATTGTCGACCAGTGTTTTAGAGAACAAATAATGCCTTTGTCCAAGAAAAAACACATTATAGCTGAGCTAAATGAAGATTGCTATGTTTAATGAAGAAGCTATGTTTAATGTCAAAATCAAAATCTTGGCTGATTTCAATGTGCTGTTGGATGTTGTCCGCCATTGCTTCTGTGGTTAACGTCACGCTGTAATCCAACTGCAGTTGAGTTGGACGGCAATTGTAGTTCAAGATGAGCGTTCTATGACGTATACTATCAAACTCACAAATGGACCAATCAGAGGTTAGCGCTGATTTCCAGCTGACGGCGTCCTGTCCTAAGAAACCAAGCCTTAATAATTATTTTTTGTTATCAGTGAAATTCGGAGAACTAGTGCAACAGCACATTTTAATTTCATCCCCCTCAAAATAAAGATACTTTAATTGCTCTTTTGCCCTGCTGTTTAATACCTTGCTTTAATTGATTAAAAATATCTATAATGAACAAAAATGTACTTGGAGAAAAGCTACCACTTATTTTATTTACACAGAAGAAAAAAAAGGAGTGTGCTTTTCTTAGAAAATTGTTTGAGATGAGATTGTGTGTTATAAATTACAAAATGATGAAATCAACAAATTATTGAATTAATAAAAACGTTTAAATAAAGCCTCAGTTATGCCTTTTGTTTTGCAAAAAATTCGATTCACAGATAGAACCAGAACTTTTTTACACACATTTTTCTTTCCACAACTAACATAGAGTAACAATGAAATTTCAAGCTATTTCTGAATGGGCCAAGCAGAAATTTTGATACTAGCCAGTAGCAATTTAATATAACCATTAAGGATAGGGATTTTTTTATCAATTTTAGTAAATTTTAAAACTTTTGAATCTTATTAATCACATTTCTTTAGAGGAAAATATGTTGTGAAACATTATTTTGCCTTCACTAGGAAGGAAAATTATTTTTCACAACCCAGTAGTTATATTTTATCTCACATAATCTATGAAAATACTCATATTTTAAAAGCAAGACTTAATAATAATAATGTAAGTTTTTTTTAAAATAAATTCTCTCTATATTAAAGCAAATAGCAATTTTATTATTAAGGAGTAAAATATTTTATCACATATGTAAACAAATGTATCCTAGATAAGAAATCAAGGGAAAAGTGTCGTAAAAGGTTTTATAATTAAGGTTGATGTTATTCAGTGAAAGGGTTAAATCAATGCTTAACTTAAATAGTTTAAAAGAGAATAAGGGTAACATATATTATAAAATTTACCAGAAACATTTTTTAATAAGGATCTCGATACACAAGAGGCCATCTTTAAGCACGTGACTTTCACTTTACTATTGACATCCGTAACCTTTGAGAGGCCTTCCAGATTTTTGAGTGTGGTGTGTTAAAAATTCCCTATCTTATCTATTTTCCTCTAGAAAGTTTCCCTATTACGAGGAAGTTTTCCCTATTAAGAAAATATCGAAAACTTTATCGATATAATAATCGATAAAGAGATTCAGAGGAAAGCTTTAAAGACCATCCTCGCTGGATGTGTTTTCTCCGCCTGTGATGAGAAATGGATTGCTGGAAAATATTTGCCGGGATAAACTCGTTATTGAGCCACTTTCGCAAGCGAAAGAAATTGCACTCAGTATAATTGGTCCTTCAAATACAAATGAGTCCCGCAGTGGACTCATCGTTAAGACACGGTTCCCAGCAGATCACCGAAGTCAAGCATCACTGGCTACGGTCAGTGTGCGGGTGGGTGACCACTTGGATCAGCCTGCGTAGGGACCAAGGGTGTGTAGTATTGGTCCTCGTTAAACTGTTCTACCGTAAAGTGCTCGACTTCGCGTGCAGGTCGCAGGGCTACCGAAGCGGGGTGCAATCCTCCCTGCAGAGGATCAAAATTGTGATGGCATATCTTCGGATCACCCTCAGGGATGTTTCCCAGACAGTCGCCAATAGCCCATTGTGCAGCTCTAGTGCGACGTAAATCAACAACAACAACAAATACAAATGAAACAATTAAATTGGAAACCTTTTAATTGCAAAGCCATTAAGAATCGGAGAGACAAATTTGCTTTATTTTGTGCGAAAAGAAAATATGGAATGAAAAAAAGGTTCAGTTTTTACAGAGAACGTAGTAATGAAAATTCCACAGCATTCTGTATTCTTAAAATTCCTAAGAATTCAAAGAAAAAAAATCTAATTGTAGAGTTTTAAAACATAAAATTAAAAAAAAAAAGAAGTGCTAAAGCATTTTTAGCCGCGCAATGGACTTACCGTAACACATGATTCCCTTTAATAACAAGTGAAGCATCACAGGTAGCTGTCAGTGAGCAGGCGAGTATTCACTTTTATAAGCCTTTGGAGAGACAGAGGGTGCACGGTATCGTTAAATTGCTCTTCCGTTAAGCACACGACAACGAGCGTAGGTCACCGGGATACAAAAGCAGGGGATCAAAATTGTGATGGCATACCTTCGGATCATCTTCAGAGATGTTTTCCAGATCATCGCCATCATTGCAATTTTAATGCGGCGTAAATAGAGTATGCTACTATTAAAACATTTCAGGTTGATTACTTTTAGCAGAACCAATAAAAAAAATTCTCCTCTCTACCTTGGATTCCGCCCTGAAAATCTTCAGCGAAATTTAAGCAATGATATAAATTTGAAAATTAAATGTAAAGTTGTTCATTTTTTAAGAATAGAATCATAAAACAAAAATCCCAAATCGATAAATCATATAATTTATTTAACAATTTAAACGAAAATATAGGAAGGTGAAAGAAGGACCCCGCAGAAAAAGGAAATTAAGCAAGTCATACAAAATGTTTCGTCCAGGGTCCCACAAAGTCTAATAACTGCACTGTACTTATAAACTACATAGCACTATATTAAGTATTCAGTAAGTGCCACTCTTAATATATATTATTCTTGTGCTAGTCAAAATGGATGAAGAAACGATAAAGTAAGGGACAGGTGTTGCTAGTAGTTGAAATTCGTAATGAATACTTCTGGGTTGCTAACTTCCAATTCATTTTTTTGTTCTATAGAAACAGAACTTAGAAAACAAACCATTCATATATTGTCATTGCACTTTACTGTTTACAATATGACTCGTACTTTTTATCATACAGTTTGTAAATCCAATTAACTTTAGTTAAACACATCGAAAACTGAAGTTAATTATGTCAAAACTTACTTTCTGTGTGTCAGGATATTAGTTTCCTGAAATTAATTTATGGTTCACAACTCTTAAGAATTTATAAAATACAAAAAAAATCTCATGAATCGTAGAATAACAAACAAATTTAAAGGCAATTCTCAATAAAACTGCTTAGAATATCAAGCCTGTTCACCCTCATCTCTTGGTAAACATAAACAGAAGGACATAATGGAAGTTTTTAAAATTCAGCTCATGTGAGTCTTGTTATTGTTTGAATTCAATTCCCTATCCATTGAAGTAAAAAAACAAAATAAATGCACATTAGTGATAAAAAAAAATGGTATTGAAATTCCAATAATCAAGATTGCGAAAGCTTCGCAACATGTTGGATAGCCGGAGATAGTAGAGAGGAGTTAAAGATAGGAGGTTTCTATGATCACCAAAAATTCTTACTATTCGGGAATTTTAAAAATTTAATATAGACATTCGACAAATTTAGATGATTGTCTACTTTGCCAAAGGCGTTACAAATAGAACTTTAACAAATGAGCTGCCATTTAACATTTAACAAGATCTGTTCTTTCCTCTATTGGAGAGCATTTTTTAGACAATTTAAAATTGTTAAAAATGTTATTCGTTTTAATATGAGAAATGAAAAATTAAATAGTTAAATGCTAGTTTCATGTAAAAAAAAAAAAAAAAAATTGAAGATTATGTTTTTATAAATGTTAGGAATTTATTCGATATTAATAACACTCCCTAATATATAGACTTTTTGACGTTATTTTCTTATTAAAAAAATTAATTAAAAGGGATAATTATTTAACTCCCTGTATAACAAATACCCTCATGAGTAGTGATATGTTGGCATGCTAATTATACAGCACTGCTTTATTTTATTTTTTAAAACCTGTTTATTTCTTTATTGATGAATAGAAACAAACTATTCTTATAGATTCTCCAACACGTAGTTAACACAACTTTCGATGAATGTAACCTATTATTTCATATATTAAGCTGATTCAATAGAATGTGCTACAAAAAAGAAAAAAAAAATCCAACCGTCACAATTCCTGTTTATTTAATAAGATTTCTTATCCATTAAAAAATAAAAAAGATATCTTTATCTCTTTTCGATAGTTTAGACATGCATTTTAATAGGATGAAGGAATGCTTTTAATTGTCAAAAAAAGTTTTTTTGAGGGAAAAGCAATAAGCAGTTGTATGCTATGAGGGAAAAGTTGGGGGTGTTCAGCTAATTTAAATTGTTTAAAAGAAAATAAATAAATAAAAAAATAATAAAAATAAAAGTTAGCTTTTTTATTAAATTCTTTCCGCATTTATTTTGCTTAGTTTTTACATTATCTAGGCTCCTTTCTGAGTTTTTACAAGCACCCTCAAATAATAAAAATATCTAGACACAGTTTTGAATAAAAGCAGTTGAGGGAGAAGAGTTTCCGATGCCAACGAAAGAAAGTATTAAAGATTTGCCCTCACGCCCGCTTTTAGCCAAAATTGTTTCTAAATATTCATATCATTAAAGCTTCGAAGTTCTGTCACCTAGGAAAATAAAAAAAACCATAGTTCAAGTGCGTTACACTTGAAACAATGCAATGATTTTAAACTGTATATTATAATCTTGCTGTGAAGAATTATCAAGTCTTAAGAACAAACAAATAAACTTAAATATTTTTAAAAAATATGAAACTTTTTCAAAAATCATAAATTTGACGTCATTTTTCCACTTAGATGAAAATTATCAAAATCACAGCCTTATTCTTAGTTTTCGCAAATTTTTATGAGCACAGGTAATTGGAGCATTCGAGCAAGTATTTAAATATAAATAAATTAGACCATAAACGCTTTTGATTTTCAAAAAACTGACTTTTCTCCATATTGACGTTTTGAGCCAGAGCTGGACGTAGACAGAGCTGGCTTTAGATAGGTTAAACTTGACCTAACAGTCATTAATTATAGTTGCAAACTCACAGCAGTTATAAAAAGAACATATTATTCTCAAAAAAACATCATTTCATATTACGACGGAGCCTTAGAAAAACAGCATTAAAGGTTGCCAGCAACGCATTGAATGTGCTCCAAGTGTCTCTACTACGCAATTTATAGCATTATTAAAAGCAGGCAAATCTAATCAATAAATTTTACAGAATTTGCAACAAATGTCTGACCGTTTGCACCACGTAATGGGAATGTGGCGTTACATCCATAGGTAGGGGATTAAATTTTGAAAATGGTTAAAAATCGGAATAAAACGAAGAAAAAATGATAAGAAAAGATTAAATGTATAAAAAAAGGTTATCTTATACTATACCATAAAGCATGAATACAAATGTATCAAGGCCAGCTATTATCTCGAGTACATTAGCACTTCTCCGGTATGGGCAAAAATGTCAGCCATATCGAAGGCGGAAGCATTAGTTTGGTAGAGGAAAAAGGAGCTGGAAGCTGAAATATGTCGAAAATTATAGTTACAGAATTTTGCAAAATAAAAAACGTTTTTATTTAAAGATTTTTCTAAATTTAACGTGGAAAATTCCCCCCTGATTTTCGGTTGTGATTTAATAAAGTATTTTCCAATAAATAAGTTTAAAAGTTAAATCAATGAAAAAGATTATTAGAAGGTAAATATTTTTAAAAATGACATAATTACACGATAAGAACTGTTGCTATGCTTTATTGTTGGAAAAAGATTGAAATATCGCGATAAAAGGTATTAAAATAGTCGAAAGTTTTGAATAAATTAAACCATTGGATGTAGGAGGGGACTCACGACTTATTTTGGAACAAACACTGTCCACTTCAAGTTCTAGCGTATCAAATTTTTAGACTCCAAGTTTTTAGACTCCTAATTTCAATTTTTAGACTCCTAAGTTTCAGACTCCTAATTTTTAGGTTCCTAATAGTTAGACTCCTAGTTTAGAAATTTTAGTGGATTAAAAATTTTAAAGTACGGAATTTTAAGTTTTGATTTATTAGTTTTTGTTTCGATATTTTTAAGACGGAACACTTGAAAGAGAATTTCAAACTTTTAGGACAAACGGGACTGAAACTTTACTTTGCAGATTTCATCTTTAAATGTACTATAAAAAAAGCAATCAGAATTTAATATATGATTGATACAGGGTCTTTTGATTGAAGAATATCGATTTGTTAATTTAAAATGACTTTTTCACATTAATCCTGTTAATAATGCTGATATTAATAATAAACTGATGATAAGAAGAAATGATGATTAAAATAATGATA